TGTGGGGTGACCTCATTGCAGCATTTCAGTACCTAAAGGGAGCCTACGAACAGGAGGGGAATCAACTCTTTGAAAGGGTAGATAACTGCAGGACAAGGGGAAATTGCTTTAAGTTTAGGGAGGGGAGATTTAGGTTGGATGTCAGGGGGAAGTTCTTCACAGAGAGAGTGGTGAGGTGCTGGAACAGCTGCCCAGAGAGCTGTGGATGCCCCGTCCATCCCTGGAGGTGTTCAAGGCCAGGTTGGATGGGGCCCTGGGCAGCCTGGTCTAGCATTAAATGAGGAGGTTGGTGGCCCTGCATGTGGCAGGGGTTGGAGATTCATGATCCTTGAGGTCCCTTCCAACTCTGGCCATTCTGTGATTCTGTGATAACCAGCAGTTTATGGCTAAAGACAACACTTCCTTCTGTTTAGGATAGGTGACTTTGTTAGCCCTTACATTAACTGAAGAAAAAAAACAGCACATTAGAGAAACAATCAAACAAGGCAGGAGAGACCTTACTGCTCTCCATAACTACCTGAAGGGAGGTTGTAGTGAGCTGGGGGTCAGCTTCTTCTCTCGTGTCACTGGTGATAGAACTAGAGGGAATGGCTTCAAGCTGCACCAGGGGAGATTTAGGCTGGATGTTAGGAGATACTACTTCTCTGAAAGAGTGGTCAGGCACTGCAATGGGCTGCACAGGGAGGTGGTGGAGTCACCAACCCTGGAGGTGTTCAAGGAACAACTGGATTTTGCATTGAGGGACATGGTGTAGTGAGAGCTATTGGTGATGGGTGGATGGTTGGACTGGATGATCTTGAAGGTCTTTTCCAACCTTGGTGATTCTGTGATTCTGTGAGATACTCATATGTGACAGCCTTCCTTGCAGTCCCCCTCAAGAGTCAGATGCCGAAACAAGTCAGCACAAAAGCTTACAGATCCACACTGACAAAAATAGTGCTTGTGCAGTTTCATAGTGTAGCTTCCTGCAAAGCGAGGTACGTGAGCAGCCAGCGCTGCCTGCTAAGTTGGTTTTCTGTCATCAGCAGAACTAAAATAGAAGGAGGTGGGACATCAGTAAATGAACATGTCCCAACCCAGAAGGTGAGCCATGCTGTTCAATACAAAGCACCTCCTGACTCTAAGAGTGATTTTGGAGGTACAGGAGGACCTGATTGTTGTTTCTGCCATTTAGAACACCAAAATCTTTCCGTGCAAAGGAAACGGACCAGCACAAATTAAGATACAAAGTTTGTAGCAGAAGGGCAGACACCCCCTCTACTGCAGTCAGTAACTATGAAGTCTGTTCACTAAAAGAGGCTGCCTGGGAACACTCAGTGCTTCTACTGCCTGCTGCAAGCAAAACAGATGATTAAAATGAGAATCCACTTAAACCTATTATGGTATTCTACTGCTGATTAAACTCTTTAAATTATCATTATGAAAGTTTGCATTTCAGCCTCTTGAAACATACAATACTTCTATTTTCTTATATAAATACAAGCTTTTATACAACTTTCGTACTAATTATGGCAATTTAACAAGTTAGAAGAATGATCAATTTTTGTTTTCAAAATTATGCTGCATGTAACAGCTTCTTTTCTTTGTGTACTTCATTAGTTTTACCTCTGCTAACTTCAAAACGACTGTTTTAAATGCTGAGTTCTTAAGTCAAACCAGGTAAACTATTTAAACACGTAGAATTTGTAAATTTGTTAATTTACAAACATCATACAATCGATAGGAACTTCACATTTGCCTTATCCAGTTCAGGGACCAACACTCTTTGCCAAACTGGAAAATCAGGTTAAAAGAATCTATGCAAAGATCTACTAAGCATTCTTTCTCAACTACTAAAGTACTGTAAATTTGAATTTATCCATCACTTTGATGTACCATCACCTCGTGATACCTTCAGAATACTATGCACTAAATAAATTCCAAGCAGCAATTATTAAACCAGTCCAAATGCATACCTCCTCTTGTGCAATACCCTGGTTATTGGGTACTATCCAGGATAACAGCTCTTGAGGGTTGAGTTTCCCATCGTTATCCTTGTCATAGTCATTCACAAATCGATCCTTCTCAACAAGTATCCATTCTGGATCTTCCTTGGCAGCTAGGGAGAGACATTTGTTAAGTTTAAATCCACTATTTTCCTCAAAATCAGCGTGTTCACCTCTTCTACTAGGCAGATCAAGTGAATTTAGTCTCATAAAACATAACATAGATGTGACTTCACTAAACAAAGACAAGCCTTACAGACCAGTCCCAGTATATTTAATAAATATGTAATAAATGCATCTGCCTACACATAATCTCTCCCCAACAGATTCATCATTTAAAGCTAAAGTAACATTAAGACAATAAAACTACAGCTGAACCAGCCTATATCAGGGACATTAAAGTCATAGTTACATCAGCTGAGCTGTCTAGCATCTCCATAGTCACCCAAATTGAGAGCAGAGAAAGCATACTACATAGAGAGCCTGCTGCTAAATTGATTGTCTCCTACTTAGTGGGAAATCCAACAAGTCAATAGGAAAAAGTGAAAGTGGATGATGGAGAAACATTATTTACATGATTTACTTTGATTGGGTTAAGATTACTCTCTTATTGCAGAGCAATCACAAATGCCATGTGAATAGCATCACACCACAGCACTATGGGCAGCACATTGGTCATCTCAGCACTCAACAGATGGAGGAAAGTAGGGAAAAGCTTTAAATCAACAAGTGTCCCAAAAACAGGTAGAGAACTGGTGTTGTGCAGTGTATATGATTACAAAACTTGTATGGCTATACCAAGTTTTTGATAACATTCTGTTCCCCTGCTTTTACATCTGCTTTTTCATCTGTGACAGCCAGCAAAGAGGCAAAGCTCTTAATTAGTGCAGGCTCAATAGACCTGGGACAACAGTGCAGGCTTTCAAAATAGTTCACTTTTTGTTTTGTTTTGGTTTTTTTCCTAAAATACTTGGAATGTATTCAAAACAGTTCGAATTACTGCTTTTCTTTATTTGTATTTATTTATTTGTATTCCTGTTTCATATTTACCCCATGAGCTTACACTGCATCCTGAAACCTAGCCAATTGTTTTAAACTTGTCTCAAACTCTTCCAAGAAATTAAGAAGCCGTTCATCAAACTGAGCATTCATCACTGATGAACACTGTGGACAAATACTCCTAAACACCACGAAATCAAAGTTAGCTGATAGGACAGGCAGGCAAGGAGCACTGCCTGCAGAAGAGGTGCTCACCTGGAGGAAAGCTGAACGAGTTGCTACATTTATAGCTGGGTCTGAAGCCTTGATTTAAAAATAATAATGGCAATGTGATTGTATCTTCTCTGTAACTGCAAGGACCCAAGCATTGATTTCACTCCTATCTAACAATTTTAGACAGACAGGCTTGGAAAAGTTTTTTTCAAGTCAGAGCATGAAAAAGATTAAAAAGACAACCAACCAACCCAAATAAACAAACAAAAATAACACAGGAAAACCATCAGTTCAGAATTAGGACTCTGAAGGTCCATGCATCTTTCCCCATCTAATTGCTCATCTTTTTGAAACCAGAGGAGGTTTTTGACATATCTTGTCTGAAGTCAAAGACAGAATATAAATATTTATCTATTAACAGTACACCTAGAGAAAAGCAATGATAAACTCCAGACCAGAAACAGCTAACCTTACATTCATGCCAGCTGGCTCCCCAGATGCATTCAGTTAGCAGAACTGCAGTTTATTTTAGTTACCTACCTAGTGATAAGGATTTTATGCTTAAGTCTTTGAGAAAAGAAGTAACCTACGAGGAAACAATGGGCTGCAAACAAACTTCTGCCAAATACTCACAAAATAGACTAAAATAATTCCTGACTATGCACAGTACAGGAAATTGAGTTACTCTGAAAGAGGGGGTAATGTAACTCAGAGCCTGTAGGTGGAGGTACTAACAGCTGGAAACAAAGATGCACACAATTCATCCCATTCCAAAAGCTTCTGTTCAACCCCACCCCTCTTCCTTACTTGGGTCTCTTCTGTAATCACCAAGGAATTCTTCCAGGCTCACAAATCCATCACCATCTTTATCATGTTCTTCTAAAGCCTCCTCAGTGACAAAGTCCTTTTGCGTACATACAGACAAAAAGCAAAGCACCAATTGATCAGTCTTGCAATCAAGAGAAAAAGCAATCAATCATTTTAGAGCTATAATGATGCCTTTAAACTAAAGAGGCAGTCATTTTGAATCTGCTTCTCTGTTCTACACAGACCAGTGCAAGTAATTGGTCCTGTGCAACATAACAGGTCCATTCTTAGTTAGGATGTTAAGCGTGCAGGATGTACATTGAATTGGAATCCTTCAACACAATTCAAAACAATTCCAGAAACTAAAACCATTAATTTGCACAAATCTGTATTATCTCATTTCTCTTTTCTTTTTTTCCTTCAATTTGGTTTTTTGCAGTACTGAAATGTTTGAAGATGTTGGAAAAAATGTTTATTCTCTTAGTGCTTTGTATCCCAGTGAGGTCAGCATGCCTGCTCTTGTAGTTGCTTTTGTTTGCTCACAATCAAGGGTTGTGCCAACACAAACTGAAGCTGTGTTTGCACGGAGCTCCTCCTGGCCTGAAGCTGTGCAGCATGGGACAGGCAGAGCTGAAGGAGCAGCAAAGCATCAACGTGCTTCTAACTGGGGTCAGCTGTGGGTATGGGCTGGAATGACACCAGCAGTCACAACAGTGATGAAATGTGCGATCAGTGCCCAAGTGCACTGTTTCCCTCTAAGCAAGGTATGAATGTCCAGCACCTGCACTTTTCCTGCACCAAAAAAAGGTTTATTTTAAGCTCCTCTAACTTTACTTTTTAACTCTGACCTGGGCCTGAAACTTCTTCAAGCTGAAATCTTACTGATCTATTTCTAACCTAGCAGTTTTAGAGATGGCCACGTCAGACTGACTCCAAAAGTTTGGGCCAGTTGTGCAGCACCAGTTCTTGAAATAGATTTTCAGGAGAAATGCTGAACTGCTGCTGCTGAACTCCAGCACTGAATCCACCTGATTTTTCATTTGGTCTGGCAAAACAATATGCACAGCTGCTGAAAAGCAGCTTCCTGTAGTACTGGGGCATCAGAAAGGCATTGCCTCTAAACATGCAGGGAATAAAGATTTCCTTCTACATCTTACCATCATATACTCCACTTCTTCAGGATGCTCAAAAGCGATAAATTCATCCACATTTAGATCAGGATCATCGTCCCTATTAGCTTTTTCAAAACGCTTTTTCTCCTTTAAATGAAGCTTAGAAAAGAGATTTAGTTAGAGTGCTTAATGAAAAGGAAAAACATTATCGTAGCTGTCTGTAAACTCATCAGAGTATTAATTGTTTCACATTACCTACTTTGTATTACAATGATGTTAAATTTCACTAAAAAGAGCGTATCCAAAGCAGTGAGAACTGCACTTTTAATTGAGGGGGTTCTGTTTTAAGAATTTAGTAAGATCTTTTTCTTTGCAGTTTGAGACATTTGAAACGCGCTCAGCCAAGGCTCCCAGAACATTAAAGAGAGATAATGAGAAGACCTTGCCTTTGTATGTTTCCTCTTCTTCAAGTCACCACTTCCCAAACTAACCTAGTGGAGTACAATGATGTTACAGCAACCATCACAAATTCTAACACTTGCATTTAAGGACATTTAACTTTCTGAATTTATATCTCATTTATATCAAGGCAGTTCATGGTTCTTGAAACAGCATATATATAAACTGAATTTTCTGAAGCCATTTTAAGTGCTGAAGGATGAGAGAGACTGCTTTAACACAAGACTGTTGTCCACGTTATCAACTTACTACAAAGCAAAGATACTTCTCAAAACTACAGTTAGTAACTATAAATATTAGCACACCCTCTAAAAAGAAACACTACCCACCATAAACAGGCAAATTACTATTTCTGAATGCCTCACACCTCCTTTTTCTGTACTCTAAATGTGCAAAGACTTCCTTCTTTTTGCTTGTTCCGTTCCATACACTCTCTTCAGACAAAATAAAGACCCAAATCAATGATAATAAATCCCTGGTCAAAATGTGTGTGTTGAGAGCTGTGAAAATGTTGGAATCTCTTGTGTACTGTGCTCCCAGTGTCACTTTCTGGATAAGGGATAAGGCAGTGGCCACCAAGCTGCAGATCACAAGTACTTTCAAAGTAACCATTTTAAGTCACACTTTTTAGTTTCCATCCTATTTATTGACTTTTTTTTTTTGTTCCTCACAGTGAGGCTAATGTGATTCATAAAGAGCAGATTTAACAAAGTGGAAGAGCATACCTAGTCTGCATAATAATTAACTGAATTTTTAAAGAAAAGCTGACATTAGCCGAGAGTTAAATAGAATCACAGAATTGTAAGGGTTGGAAGGGACCTCTGGAGATTGTCCAGGCCAATCCCTGCTAAAGCAGGTTCCCTACAATGGGTTCCAAAGGAAAGCATCCGTGTGGGTTTTGAATATCTCCAGAGAAGGGGAGTCCACCACCTCTGGGCAGCCTGTGCCAGTGCTCTGTCACTCTGAAAGTACAGAATATCTTTCTTACAATTGTATGGAACTCCCTGTGTTCCAATTCGTGCCTTTGTCCCTTCTCCTGTTGCTGGGCACCACTAAAAAGAGCCTCACCCCATCTGCTTGACTCCTGCCCATGGAGCACTGATAAAATGCCCCCTAGCTCTTTCTTTGTTGGGCTGAACTCCTCAGCCTTTCCTCCCAAGGGAGATGTTCCAAGCCCCCAGCCATCCTTGTGGCTCTCCATTGGACATCCTCCAGCACTTCTTTGCCTGCCTTCAACTGGGAAGCCCAGAACTGGACATGGTGCTCCAGACGTGGCCTCACTTGGGCAGAAAAGAGGGGAGGATCACCTCCCTCGACCTGCTGGCCACACTCTTTTTAAAGGACCCTATGATCCCATTGGCCTTCTCGGCCACAATGGCACACTGCTGGCTCACAGGCAACCTGCTGGCCTCCAGAACACCCACATCCTATAAGCAGAAAAGTGGGTTAATATTCTTCATAGCTGAGAGTTGTGATGACTGTGGCTATTTGAAACAGGCATCCAAAAAAACCATATATAGTTGGGTAATTATCAAAGGCCATTACCACAGCTAAGACCATGAAAATTAAAATCCACCAGCCACCTGTCTAATGGTCAAAGAAATCATGTGATGAAGAGAAGGGCCAAACATAAACAAGGGCATACTGACAAAAATCAGAGACAAAGTGACTTGCAAACATGAATTTCAAAGGAATACAATGGTCAGTCGTTCCACTCCATCACTGACAATGGCACCATTTCAACTTGGGAACTTTATGTCTCCCCAGATGACCACTTAATAGGCTTGCTTTAGTAAATGTACCTTGACTAGCTGCTTTTCCTAAAGGTTTAAACCCTTTGCAGGGCACTGCGGGCATGGAGTTATGTCAAGAAATTGTTGTTTTGAGCCAGGCTGTAGGCTAAGAAAGAGCGTGGGGCTTCCTGGTATGGTGAATTGGGCTAGAGCCAGCTTTAAGAGTTTCCCTGGGAGATGATGTTAAGCTTGCACTTTAAAAGCTTCAAAATCAACTTGAACTACTGATGGAAAAAGTCTGTTTCCAGGGCTTTTTTGAGAAGTGACAAACAAGTCTGCCACCTTCTGGTGAATTCATATGTTTATTTTACCTGATGTCAGCTCTAAATCAGGAATTGTCTAATTTTCCATTGTAACTGCAGCAGAATCTCTAATTTTCAAAAGTACAGGCAAAGACAGCTGATACACAATGCAGGTGCAATGCTGATGATTTTGCTTTTGCCACTATCAGTAGAAGAAGTCATCAAGCAGGAAAACCTTGCCAGCAATCACCACGAAATACAGCATAAGTAAGTAACCAGGACTTCTATCTCAGCATAGTATGATGGCAACATTTCAAACACAGGGTCAATATTTTGATGGGAAGTTCCATTCAAAATCTTGTTTTATTTTAAAGCTATGTGATTAAGCGACCTCCAAAGCTTTACAGTTTGCTTTCACTGTATAAAATCTGTTGCTTCCTGTCTATTTCAACTTCACTTCTGTCAACAGTATATGCATGACTACTGCTTTAGTAAAAGTAGTCCCAAAAACTCAGGCCAGGCTAGCCTACAGACTCACTCATTCTCTTTGGGGAAACATACAGACGTACTTACAAAAGCAACTTAAACAAGTTTTGCTACAGAAGACTCTTAGTGAATCTTCCCTCTTTTGCGACTTTCCTGTTCATTCTTAAGTATTAATTTGCATATATGAGTTTAATCCGTAACTTCTATTGTTTATTCACCAGTTTTATCTACCAGGGTTGCATTTTGATTGATCAGAAGGCCCAAATTGCTATTGCTTTCTCTCTGGCTCTCTAGCAGACAGAAAAGCTGAAAAGCATATGCAGTATAAATACCCCAGAGTACGCGCTTTGGAAATGAATGACAGTGGATAATAGAGTGCAGTGAGGGGGTGAGGGAGTACAAGGCTCCCTTTGACTCTAACAAGCTATAGGGGACACTGGTTAGGCTACAGACCTCATTTAACAGGTTGCCATCCTGTTTTAAGCAGTTTGCTGGTGCCTCTGCTCTGTGTAGGCTGATACTCCGCTCAGCTGGCAGAATATATTCATGAGCCATGATTTCGTTCTGTGTTCTGTTGGTAGCAGGTTTAATACTCCATTACTTTCCTTTAATTACTCCCCTACCTCAGATAAATGAAAGTGTTAAAACATGTGCCAGCTGCTACGGTTCCTCTACCCATCTTGTTCCATCACAATAAACAAATATTGTTTCCTTTTGCCAGCAGCTTTCAGAAACTGATGTTGAAACATTTTACCTGTCGAAATGATTCTTCTTCTTGATCCTCCAGGACAGTATTCTCATCAAAATCAATTACACGATCATACATTTGTAAGTTGTACTCCTTCCAAGACACCAATCCATCACCATTTTTGTCATAGTCGTGGAAGTGTTGCTTAGCTTCTTGTGTAACGTAGTGTTTAAATGACTGCTGTATCCAGGAGCTCAGCTCATCTGTCAAAAATCATTAGAATGAACAAAAAATCAGAATAACTTATCTTACAAAACCTGCAAAGATAACACAGGTCTATCTGCTCTGGAATACAGTTCAGATGCAAGGCAAGAGGCTGGAGAAAGCAAAACAACCTGATTCCTCTGGGCTGTGGCTTTTTTTTGAGTTCACTGAGTGAGAGAACAGATGACAGCTACCCCTTTCAGCTTCTTCTGACTGCAGGACTGTTTCCCTACTGATACCCACAGAGGACAGTGACATGGTTACTTCACACTGGATCACGCTGGTGCTGCCAGAGGAAGTTTGATGCACCCATCTGACACACATGGGAAGTGGCAGCAAGAAATGATTGTGAGTGCACAGCCAACTACATCACTAAAACTTATCCTATAAGGAAGGTTCTTTGTTTTCAACCGAGTCAGTGCCCTGACTTCAGGCTCACTGGGCCTGAACAACACAATCCTGACCCTTTTGGTGGCTGCTGGAGTTAGGTCAGCTTGACCCAAAAATATTAACAAGGATTTTTCTTTTACTAGGAGCTGGAATCAAACCTTACATATCTTGGGAATGCTTTGAAGCTACTTGATTTTATAGAAACGTGGCTAAAACAAAGTAAGTTTAGCATATAGTTTCACACAAATACATTAAAGTTCTTGATTGTATGAAGATTGGAAGAAGGTATTTTCTTGGTCTCAAGCAGCTATTTTCAGGTGCCCAGAAGGGGATGGCTGGAATGTATTACTGTATCCTCCTCAGTTGGAATGCCAATATATCTTTATTTAGGTTTATTTAAGCATCTTCGAACAGCAACAAGAGATTTTGCAACTATATTCTACATCCTAAATGTGTGGTACCAAAGGAAACAACTTTGTCAAAGACTGTCTGAATTGATTAAAAACGGGGAGGAATGGATGCCAAGTGCACAAAACCACCGCTGCCTACAATGGAGAAACTGCAAAGCAATTTATCACAGACGGTGGCATTACTTATAGGGTAGGTGGTTATTTCCCAGCTTTGAGCACTGAGTCCAGTGCCGTTCATCAGACATACTGCTGCCTACAGAATCATGGAATACCCTGCGTTGGAAGGGACCCATAAGGATCATCAGGTCCAGCTCCTGGGCTCACACCTCTGTCTGCCTGCAAATGAAGTGCGGTGATAAGCAGAAAGATCTCAAGTTGTACGCTAAGAAAGAACAGCTGGGAAAGCTCCATCCCCTTATGCTTCTCGGTGTAAAAAGGCATTCCACTGGGACTTCGGGAAGGGAAAGCAAGTTTTCATCAGACTCACAGAATCACAGAATTGCCAGGGTTGGAAGGGACCTCAAGGAT